TTTAAGGACTCTCCAGGGAACCTAAAAGCCCGACACCCCGCAAAAGCCTACAAAATCGAACCCACTCCCAGCACTGATTGTTACGAAGCATGACAAAGGCCTTGTACAAGCAATCCTTAACCCCTAAACCCCCACGATTCAGGGCTTAGGGACCCTCAAACCCTAAGTCTGCCCTACTTTGAGGCCTTGGCGGAGCAGTGCCCAAAGGCAGGGCCCTTGGCGGCCCTGGCGATCAAGCGCGCCATGGAGGCCTTGGGGCAAGATTGATCTTGATGATGTTGGGGCGGTGCTTCTTTGATAGTTAACTGGGCATACATGGGATTATCCATAAGAGTGGAAGGTAACTGGGCATGAATGGGACATTACTAACGGTTTTGGGTTTACGCTTTAGGGAGGCCTTGGGGCTGTGTTTGTTTGAACCTTATGTGGACTTTGTGAAGTGCTACAAGGGGTTTAAATAGGGTCTTTACTATGCTTATGAGGGAGGTCGGGGGATTTTATGGTTTTATAATTTATTAACCTTCGATTTTGCTTTTTGAGGGTTTTTAAGGGTCTCATAAGAGTTTTCGATGCGAGTTGCTTAACAGGCTTTATTATACGCGTTTCGGAATAAGGGGAGGGGGATGGTCGTAATCATAGCAATGGCCATCATCGTTGTACGAAAAAGCAGTGAGAACCGCATTAGTAAACCTACTAAAATATTCATGACGACGTTGAGACAAAACGTACGAATGATCGGAGTCGGAGCCATCATCATCACCATCATCTTCCTCGTCCTCATCATCGTCATCATCATCACCATCGTTATAGTCGTCGTCATGTTTGTGTGTGTTGCTATTGTTGCTGTCAGTTTTTGGGCTGAGGTTCATTTGTTGATGTTATTGCTACAGTTTCTGGTTAATCTAACATGCTCTGTCATTTGGGGTGCTCTGGGCCCTCTGGGCGTGAGTACGGAGATTCCACTGTAACTGCTACCACGGTTTTTGTGGGTTCCTGCCTTTATTTGCTCTGGGCATCGGAAGGATTCGGCATCGGGCCCCCGGCCCCCACGAAACTCTCAACTCCAGTGCATAGGCTTGAAACTGAACTTGAACCGGCAATAGCTACAGCTGCATCCACAAATCGCACTGGCCCTGACAGTCCACAGACCTCCAGCTAGCAATTTCCCTGGTAGCCCCAGCATTGTAATCGTAGGCCCGAATCTCACTCATATATATATATATATATATACACATACAATACATGATAAGCCAATGTAAATGTTCCTGCAAACTCCGTTGACGGCATTCGTGACGTTGGCCTGAGTGATCTGGACTCGCATACGCGAATGTGCAGTGAAGACCCCGCTATCATTCCTGAACAACTGCGCTTGCTGCAGATCGGGGCAAATCTTGCCTGCAGGGGAGAAGTTGACCCGAGACATGCCCCAAAGCACCTTTACCCTACACCTGAACCCTGTTAAGCCCCTCAAAAGATCCTGGCCCCAAACAGGATCCTGATGTTTATGTGCAGTGGCACGCCTTCGAGACCTTCAACGCGCTTCCCAAGCCACTTCAGGCCGATTCCCGGGCGCAGTTGTCGGGCGTGCTGTCATAGCCGCAATACTAAGATCCCACAAAACACATGGAGTCCTCATCGTGATTGATCTTCCGTCTGTAGACGATGATAAAGAGCAGGTGGATGCTCTAGATACGGCTTGGGTTTTGGTGTCGGTTTCGGGTCTAGGATGTAGGATGTAGCATTGCCGGTTCGAAAGGGAACGTTGTCTTCGAGCGCAGGGGTCGCTTGGTCGAGCGATGTAAACATCATCGGGACACGGGTGCCTAATAGAACAAGCAGAGCAAAGCAGCATGACACACAAAGAACATCTCGAGCACCAAGGGAAGAAATCGAGTGCGTTCAGAAGGTCAGAATAGCGTGAAGACCTGTTAGCTATGATTACGACATGCTTGGCAAAGTCACCTAGTACTTCTGTCAGCAACTGTCCGGACCACAGCGAGAATCCACAGTTGCCAGTATGAGTGCAAAATCCCTCAAACATTTCTCCGAGTCCTCAAGGCGAAATGAGATCGCGAGATAGTAAGGCTCCGGACTTGGAGCCGAAAAAGCACCAAGCTTAAGCCTCGCACCTTCAACCCGGATTGTTCAAACCTGACTAACGACCTGAAGCTCAAACTTCTCATCTCTACTGCAAAACCCGAAATTATGTAATCCTGAACACACACGCCTGTCCAAGCGACCCAAAGACAACATTGGACCTGAGAGATGGAATCCCCCGATGTTGGCTTGTCGGGGCTTTTAGAGTTTAAGGTTGCGGGTTTCCAGTTTAGGGTTTTGCCGGGCTTGAGGAGCAGGGTACGGGAACGACCAATCCTCATGCCACCCAGGGGGCCGAGCCTACGAAGCCCCGAATCGAGGAGCATTCGATTAAACTCCTACCAAAAAACCACCCGAATTGAGGAACATTCTGTTAAAATCCTTAAAAGAAATCACCCGAATCGAGGAGCATTCTGTTAAAACCCTTACCAAAAAACCAACCGAATTGAGGAACATTCTGTTAAACTCCTTAAAAAAAATTCACCCGAATCGAGGAGCATTCTGTTAAAACCCTTACCAACAAACCACTCGAATTGAGGAGCATTCTTCTAAAATCATTACCAAAAACCCAAATCTCTGAACCCAAAGATCCCTGAGCGCCAGGAGCGTGCCGAGGATGCCGGCCTAGCGGAGCAGCTGCACTCGCTGATCCTGAGGGACCCGGTGCTTCTCCGGGGTGTTTCCCTTGTGGGAGGGAGCGATGTTTGGTTTTGCATGATGCAAGCACCAGGGGGGTGTCTGAAAACGATATTTGTAATTGTCGGTCGAAGGGCCTTGCAGTGTCTGAGCTTTTAGAAAGCATAAGCTGATGTAGTTGTGGCCTAAATCGGGTAGTGTAGACCCCGATAAGCAACTCCCTCCTTCACTAATGATTATGATAACAAGGATCCGAATGTTGAGCCCCTTCAGCAGAGAAGTATTCATGAATCGAGCATGCACTTATTTACTCCAAGTTTCACCCTAAAGCCAATGCTGTTCGAAAACAACAGCGAAACTGCGACTTCAAATCCTGAGTTGAAGCTTGTTGAAACAGTTCACCCATAAACCCTCCGCCCTGGTTGAACCTGATGGACTTGGAGCTAAACTGATTTCCGAAACTGTCTTGCCGCCTCAAGACTCCAATCCTCCGGAGATGGCGGAGCGTTCGCGGAAGACAGTGTCTTGTCAGTCAAACCAGGGTCTTACAGTTCAGAGGCCGCTGTAACCTGCAAACGCCCCCAAGCGCACTGGCCTTGAATGCAAACCGGCAACCAGGACGTGGAGAAGCAGCGTCAGCTCAAGAAGTCGCGTGCGAGCCACTCGGTTTCTCAGTTGGTCGTCCTGCCTGGGATTTCATTGTGTTGGCTGGAAGCCGATTGGTGTTGGGCCTTGAAGGAGTATTGAATTGATTTCTAGGCTTGTCAGTTACATGGTCCCGCAGCCCTGCAAGAGGGTGTCCCATCGCACTAGACCCTTGGATGCTGGCGAAGACCAGGGAAGCAGTGGATCACCTTCGAGCGGGTGTAGTGCACTCTGCACCCAGCACCGTGAGGCCTTGAGCCCTAAGCCCAAAAGTCGCGACCCCAAGCGGTGCAGGACAGCCTCTCATCCGCTGGGAGCCTGTGCCTTGACCGCAAAGGGCCTTAGGAGTTCAAAAGGCTTGATATTAGGAGCATGCAGGGTTGTCGCTAGTGGCTGGACAAGGATGTCTAATGGTTTGCACGCATTTCTACGGCTTTAAGACGGGGTTGGGGTATGTTTGGGTGTGCATGGTTTGTGCGTGTGTGGGTCACAGTCAGGCGTGCTTGGAGGATCAGGGAACTTAAAGTCTTAAAGAAATGCAGTCCGGGGTTTTGTTTCGGTTTTCGATCAGCTTTACGAACCCTATACGATGAGAGCAGACCAGATAAGATATCATAGAAAACGGAGGTCGCAGCCGTTAAATTTTGAACCCAGCAGGGCACCGCCGAGTTGGAGGAGTTCGCCGCGGAAAAGGCGCAGCAGGCGGCCGAGGCGGGGCTTTGTTGAAAGCCAAAAGTGTTTGAAAAAGATAGGTTTTTAAACAACCTATGTTTTAAAAACGTTTAAAACCTTAGGGCTTCTTATTGAAACTTTTGTACCAGAATGCACAAAAACCTTATCCGAATCATTCAGGTCCCCATAGTTGCGCTGGTTGGGCTTACATAGATGGGTCAGGCGACGTAACAAGGCTTGTGGACGTCACGGTTTTAGGACTTAGGGGTTGTGGGTTTTAGGGTATGGGGCTGTAGGTTTCTTTGTGATGAAAAGAGTCGGTTCATTTAGCTCGGGTTATAGATGGGGGCATTTTTTGGTGCTAAAGCTTATGACCCTTCTGAGAACCTGCGTTCAAAGCCGTCCAAGCCTTCAAACACTTTTTTAAAATCGGTCTTAATCGGTTTGTTCGGTTTTTGTCATTGCAGAGGTTTGTGATTTGGATATTTGTCGGACATTCAAAGGGTAGCGTTGTGGTTTTGGTGTAACGTTCTGTGCAGAGGTTTGCGATTTGGATATTTGTAGGATGTTCAAAGAGTAGCATTGTGTTTTTGGTTAAGCGCTCTTTGTTTGGGTTGCGGTCTTCAGATTTGATGGCAATAATTTCGAAATGCCCGTTGCATTTACAGTCGGGCACACCTCAAGCCTTTGCTCAATTTTTCTTACAGGTCAAGGGCGTTGCTTTTGTGATTTTCAGAGAAGCCGCATGCCCTAAATCGCCCAAGGCCCTGCAAATAATAGCCGCCTTGTCCCCCGAAACGCATACCTAAGCTGCAACCCAAATGCCTACACCGTAACGCCTAAAGCATTTCGGAATCTCCAACCCCAACACCCAAACCCTCAACCAAAACGCCATATCCCTGATCCCTAAACCAGTTTCGGTCTGCTGCAAGGCCGCGGAAGCCGAGGCGATGGCCCGGGCGGAGGCCGAGCAGAGCGTTCTTTGCACAGGCATTGATTTAGAAGGAGATGTACGGTGGGTCTGGGGTTCGGAAAGGGGTTATAAGAGTTTGAAATCGTTGCTGTGTGTTTTTGGGGCTTTGGCCGTAATTTCTAGCGGAACACCGAGAGTTTACTAGTGGTATTCCAGGGTGAGAATTTGAGAACTTATGCGATTTGACACAAGACTGGCACGACACAAGCAGTGGAGGAACACAATGGCTGAGCACTTTGGAGTGCTCAAGGAGGATCCGTTTCGAAGGAATTTCGGTAAGAATTCGTCAACTGGGGGTTTTGCTCAGCGCCTTGAGGTGCAACTCTGAGTATCTTTTGGATCCTCGATCAGAAATCCTGGAAGTCTAGGGGACCTTGTTCCCAAAACTCTGAAGTGTAGCAAAAGCTTTTCTGAACCAGAAAACTCGCACCACCGTCCATGTGAAGCATCGTTTGGAGGCAGAGGCGGTGCGAGCCATGCAGGCAGCCGAGGAGGAGGCATACATGAAACCGGGTTCATAAGCTCTATTGGAATACTGCAGGTGCTATGTAACAGCTCGTGATGTTTGCACCGCAGACCCTTGATTAGAACTCCCGCCTGTTCCTTAAGGGCCCTAGCATGAAGATCCGGTTTGCATACTAATACAAGAGTGCAGTTGTATGCTGATACAAGAGGGTAGTTGAGAATTCAGAGGTTTTCGAGTTTTGGATGTAACGAGCTGTGCGAGATTTGAGCGTTGGGAATCTGGGTTTGGGTTCCTGGAAGTTGGCGTTGAGGATCTTTTCATGCTCGCATGCGTTTCGGGGACCGTAGTTTAAGCGACCTCATTGAGGGTCGTATGCCTGAAGCCAGCACTTTCTTTTAAAACCCTTGACCCATATTGCGGGACCTAAATTCATGGCTGCTGCTCCAGTTCCAACCAGCAACGAGTCTAACAGAACACATGGAGGCCACAGCCAGATCACCGGCGAAACCTTGGAAGTAAGCCAGAGGCATTGCCATGAGTGAGGGATATTTCGATGATGACCGTTGACTGCGCTGCGGGTGGCAGTGCCCTGTCGTCTATGTCCCGGCCGCCCCAAAACCCGATGCATACTCGAAGCCCGAAGCTCAAATTTGTTAATCGTGATTTTTGTGCACTTTATTCTCGCATGTATCCCGTGGGCCAGGCTAAGCTCATGGAAGCCATGGGCAAGGCTGCCGCCGCCCTACAGGACGGAGGGATGTGGGACGTGAATGATGGGAACTGCTCGGGTACCGAGTTGGTTGGATTCTCGCTAGATGTAGGGCCATGTAGGGTGGAAGTCTGTCGGCCAACTCTCATTTTGAGACTGTGTGCTCGATGTAAACCTGGATCTTGGTTTACATACCTGTTTCAATATCATATGCCTCTTCCCTTCCGTGTGTAGGATTGTAAATGCCGCAGAAGCCCTGGAGCGTGGAGCATGGCTTGAGAAGGTTTATCACAGCGTGTAGGAAGATTTGTTTCCATGTCTGAGCTTTCGATTCGGTGCAGTGCTTGTTTTGAGGGCCTTCTCTGTTCACAGCAGTTATGTGTACGAAGCCAGTGTTCAAGTTGGATGCCAGGCTGTTCGCTGCAGTTTGTACTTCTCGGCTCGGTCTTGATGTAACCTGCCTGACCACATCCTGCCCGAGTTTTCGGAAGTGGGAATAAACGCAGATTTGTCCCGGGCAGCTCATCCTACCTCGTGCTGAGAGCAAATGCTGAAGCCAAAATGTCGCACTTTATTGCATGGGCTCGTGCTTGCATTGGGGTGGGCGGCACTTTGCCCAATGCTGGTCGGGCCTCTGAAGGCCCCTGCACATCCCGACCAGGAAGCTGCAGACCGGGCCGAGGCTGCCAAGTATCGCGGCGTGCACTATAGCAAGCAAAATCGTCGTCGTCGTCGTTTCGTGGCGCAGCTGTGGGCTCGTGGCGGACCAGGCTACATCGGCAGCTTTAAAACCGCCAAGCAGGCCGCGGAGGCCCGCGATCAATGGGTAAGAAGCTTGTATCCAGATGCCACTCCTGAACACAAGTTGCGGCGCAAGAACTTGCTGAACTTTCCCTCGGTTGAGGAAGCCGCCTACAATGAAACGCCGCAGCAGGCACGCAAGCGCGGTCTGAAAGTACATGGTGCCAATCACCGCAAAGAGGCCAGATCCTTTGAGCTGTTGAGGGAGGCCTTCAATGCATCACCTTATTCAGAGAATTACGAGCTCGTGCGCTTGACGGGGTCTTCCAAAGCAGATGCTCTGTTTGAGCTGCGCGGCTCGTCACAAGCTGGCTTACCAATTCAACTCAAGGCAGCAACAAGTCGGTCGAGGGAAGGAAATGGCTTACCATTTCGGCAACATGCAGGGATACGACGGCATGCTTGTCGTTCTTGTCGCGCTGGATGGTGGCCACTTCTGGGCGGCCACCGGCGAGGAACTCAAGGTGGATGATTTATGGATAACCATCGGGTGTGAAAGTGACATTGGTCGGCGGGTCGAAAACATAGGGTCGCAGATGGTGGCCTGCTTCAAAGATACACAACAGTTTCCCCACCTGTCAGTTGAAGAGGCAGAGCACCAGTGCTCCGCCAGTCACAGGCTTGAAGCGGCTGCGCATGGGCAGCTCAGAAATCTGTTTAGTTGCATGAATTGGAGTCTGCTGTGTCCTGATGAGCATGGGACCACGGTCGACTCCCTTCTGGAGGTAGGCATCGCGGGCCCGGCGGTGCAAGTGCAAGAGAAGGCGTCACGCCTCTGTAAAGCAACGGGCAGGTATCAAGCAACCATGCACAAAAGCGGAGGGTCTGGGTTGAAGGCTGCATATGTGGAGGACGATTTTGACTTGTTGGTCGCCTGTGTTTTGAATGAGGACGCTAAGTTGCAAGGCGTCTTCCTGGTTCCCATGTCCAAATTGGTGAAGGAAGGCTTGGTGGCCAACGGGCCCTGCACGCTCATTTTGCACCCGCCATGGTCTCCACCAAAGCGGAGCAGCACCAAGGAGAAATACGCTTGGCAGAGCGACTACTTCCTCGACCTCCGCACGTGGCATGGCTCCACTGAGCTGCCTGATGAGCTGCAGGTGAGCATGGAGGGTCTCATCTCAAGAGCTTTGAACGGCATGGCCTCGAAAAGAAATGTGGAAGCATAGTCGTTGTGGTTGCAGAATTTCGGATTCTGCTTCGTGACTTCAGGGTGTGAATTGTTTCTCTGGCTTGGCATGACTTGATGTCTTGGCAGCCCGACCTGTCTCCTCTGACATACTATTCTAAGGAAGCCGAGCTACCATATGTGACGACCCACATGAATAACACGACATTCTTAAGCCCGATGCAGAAGCATCAAGCCAAAGAAGACCCCTCTCGCAAGAAGTGAGCCGGGACCCCACCACGAGGCCTTAGTCCCGCAGCATCAAACTCTGATGCCCAACATCTTCGACCGTAAGCCCCCAAAATCCCAACACTCGAATCCCTTAGTGCTTCCTTCCTTGTGTCCAAACCAGGGTCCTCAGCCCAAAAGTCCCAAAAGTCAAAGCTTGCCCTGAAGTTCCCTCCCCCGGACCTGTGACTCTTTCACCCTGAACAAAGATCCTCCACCACGTTTTCCTTGAAAAACCTGGTCTGTCGAGAGAAAAGACCTCGATCCATCTGTGCAGGAAAGGGCCCGGCAGCTGCTGCCGGGGGTGGTGCAGCGCACGGCTGCGGGCGTGCCGTGGCGAACTTCCGAGAGAGGGGACCCTGGGTTCTGAGGTCTTACAGGGCTGGGCTTGAAGGTTCGAGGTTTTAGGGATTATGGGCCTTCGGGAACATAGAGGGCTCATGGAGGGGTTGGAGGGCTTGGGAGGGTTGGATAATTAGCACTGTCTGGAGTATTCTTTAGATTTTGTCCGAATTGCTGTCGCCGTTTCTCTGTGGTACGAAGAAGCATCAACAGCCACAACCCAGGAGCGTGAAGTACCAGAACAAACAGAGCCGTTGGACGCATTGACGCCCATCTTCAGAATAACAGCTTATTATCATCTGCACAGCTTAAAAGACAGCACAAAAGTCTCGGCACTGACCTGTTGAGGCGGGGGGTGACGATGGCCAGGCGCAATCGGAGTGTTTAGCCCTCTGGGTATGCCCTCGTTCCCACCCTCCCAAGTTTTCAGTCCACTGTCTAAGTTTCTGGTGGCTTATGTTCGTTTTCTTCGACCGTTACGGCAAGTCTTACTTTGATCCCGCCTACCGTAAGGTGGTCCACGTTATGCTTTGCAGCAAGAGTAAGCCTTCTAGAGTGTGGAATTCTGGGTTCAAGGCGCGCAGTGATCAGGAAGAAAAGAGTCTCGATCATCTTCTTTTGAAACCCAGCGTGAAGCCTATAAACCCGAAAATCGAGGCCGTGAAGGAGGTATGACATGAAAGAGTAGGAGTAGAAACTGCAACAGACGCAAACCAGAAAGTGCACAACATCGGAAACACTGGCTAGTGCTGAGACTCTCATGACTTGTAGGACGCAGTGGCCTTACATTCTTCGCGCAGGGGGAGCCCGAGGAGCAGCTTCAGAAGACCTTCATGGACATGTCCAGATCCAGACACCTGGCTGCTGAGGGTTCGGGCTTATGGATATGTCAAGATGCAGAATCTATTCATCAGGGCTTTGATCCTCTGAAGTGTTTGGGTAGCTTAGGGCCGAGAGTTGAGTATTTGGATGCTTCGGGCATCTGAAAGTGCAGGGTCTTCGGGTGTTCTTATCGTGGCCTAAACCCGTAAATCCCCCCAATCTTAAACCCCAGATTGTTCACACTGAGCGTTTTGGCTTCTTTTGTTTGGAGCCTCCGAAGTTGGGAGCCCGCAGCCCGACATCCCAGGGGAGGTCTTCAAGCACTTCGCGGACGGCGGCGAGTTGAACCGCATCTGGGATGAAATTTCGAACAATCCCTTAAACCAATGCTTTCTGCCAGTCTAGTTGTGTGTTTAAGTATTTGTTCTGCTGCGAGCCCGGTCTACATGACAAATGAGTCGGCGGGTTACGAAGCTCATTTTCCCATCCAAATGCCTAACTATGGATACCTACTCCAACTTAAGGAAGCTTGGTCAACGAATCTTGGAATCTCTGATCCTGCATGATGATTTCTGTGGCTCATGTATTACAGTATTGGCTCTTTGTGCACAGGGGACGTGATTGGTTCCTGACGCCTGCACTCTGAATCATCCTCAACCCTCGACCCTCCAAGCCGGCAGCCTTCATCGCCTCACGTCCTCGATGAGCATTGGCCGGGTAAACCCGAGCCCTTAAATCCTGAACCCCGCCCCAAAACCTTCAAACCCGAAGCAGAGACTGTTGTGGAACCCGAAGAGCAAGCTCCAATCTGTTGAGCTAGTCTCAGAGAGATCTCCCAAGCCCCAGGCGACGCGCTGAAGGAAGCCCTGCAAATGCTGGGTCTCGCGGCTTCAAACTATATCTGCCTTGTGCGAGGTTACTGGTCCATTTTGCGTGCCATTGATTGATACGTATCGCTTTATTGCAATTGTTTTGCATCACGTTCCTGCCATCCTGATTGGTATTGTCATTAATGTTTCTGTTGTTTCCCCGATAAGACTCCCACATGGTGTTGCTGCCATCGGCAATGAACGCCAACCCAGAACCGAGGCCCAGCAAAGCCCGAGCCCTCAAGCCAAAACCCTGAACCCTAAAGCTTCAAGCTCGGAACCCTTGAACGCTAAACCCTAAACCCACAGCCCACACCCTAAACTCTGATGCTATGCCCCACCCCCAACGCAAAAGCCAAAAGCCGGGCCCTGCCGAGCCACGTCATCAGGCCACGACACCGTGAACGAGGAGTGGGTGCACCTGGGCTGCAAGGAACTGTTCGGGTGAGGAGGTCGGTGGCTTCTCGCGTGATGCATGGCCATGCCGGGTGGGAGTTTGTCAGTCGGAAATTGTGTTATACTAATCTCATAGGCCTCATACCTTCGAAGAAGCCCTGCTTTTATCACAGAGCATAGGAAGCTCAGGGATTGCCTTTAAAGTTCGCGTGCGTGGACTGAATCTTGAGGGTTTCACAGGTTTTCCACTTTTGAAACCTTTATTCCGGTTGGGAGCCCAGGCTGTTCGTTACGGTTCGCACTTTTCTGCTCGGTCTTGGTGGTGCAACCTGCCCGGCCATAGCGACCTGCTTCACTTTCCTGCCCAAGTTTTCGGAAGTGCAAATGAGCGCTGATTTGTCCCGGCAGCTCATCCTACCTCGTGCTGGGAGCAAATGCTGAAGCCAAAATGTCGCACTTTATTGCATGGGCTCGTGCTTGCATTGGGGTGGCCGGCACTTTGCCCCGTGCTGATCGCACATCCCGACCCGGAAGCTGCAGCCCGGACCGAGGCTGCAAAGTATCGCGGCGTGAGCTATCACAAGCGAATGCGTCTGTTCGAAGCATTGCTTCAAGTTCGAGACGGGCCAGGCTACATCGGCAGCTTTAAGACCGCCAAGCTCGCCGCGGAGGCCCGCGATCAATGGGTGAGACGCGTGTATCCAGACGACACTCCAGAACACAAGTTCCACCGCAAGAAGAAGCTGAACTTTCCCTCGGAGGAGGAAGCCGCCTACAATGAGACGCCGCAGCAGGCACGCAAGCGGGGTCTGAAAATACATCGTGCCAATACCCGCAAGGCAGACAGATCCTTCGAGCTGTTGAAGGAGGCCTTGAATGTATCACCTTACTCTGAGAAGTACGAGCTGGTGCGCTTGACGGGGTCTTCCAAAGCAGATGCTCTGTTCAAGCTGCGCCGCTCGTCACAAGCTGGCTTACCGATTCAGCTCAAGGCAGCAACAAGTCGGTCGAGCGAAGGAAGGGCTTACCATTTCAGCAACTTGCGGGGATACGACGGCATGCTGGTCGTTCTTGTCGCGCTGGATGGTGGCCACTTCTGGGCGGCCACCGGCGAGGAACTCAAGGTGGATGACTTATGGATAACCATCGGGTGTGAAAGTGACATTGGTCGGCGGGTCGAAAACATAGTGCGGCATTTGGTGGCCTGCTTCAAAGATACACAGCAGTTGCCCCACCTGTCAGTTGAAGAGGCAGAGCTCCAGTGCTCCGCTAGTCACAGGCTTGAAGTGGCTGCGCATGGGCAGCTCAGAAATCTGTTTAGCTGCATGAATTGGAGTCTGATCTGTCCTGATGAACATGGGACCACGGTCGACTCCCTTCTGGAGGTTGGCATTTGGGGCCCGGCGGTGCAAGTGCAAGAGAAGGCATCGCGCTTTCGTAAGAGAATGGGCAGGTATACGGTACATCTGCGGAAAAGCGGAGGGTCGGGCCGGTGGGCCGCATACGCAGAGGATGATTTTGACTTCTTGGTCGCCTGTGTTTTGAATGAGGACGCCGAATTGCAAGGCGTCTTCCTGGTTCCCATGTCCAAACTGATGAGGGAAGGCTTGGTGGCCAACGGGCCCTGCACACTCATTTTGCACCCGCCATGGTCTCCACCAAAGCGGAGCAGCACCAAGGAGAAATACGGTTGGCAGTGCGACTACTTCCTCGACTTGCGCACCTGGCATGGCTGCACGGAGCTGCCTGATGAGCTGCAGGTGAAGTTGGATCGTCTCATCTCAGAAGGTCTGGACGACATGGCTGCAAAAAGACATGTCGAAGCACTGTCCTTGTCGTCGCAGGATTTTCTTTGTAGCCGCAGAAGGTCAACCTGAGATTCGGACTTGAGGCTTCGGGCATACAGTAACCAGAAAAAGCATCAAACACGTCGACGCTTCTCCCCAGACTTAGTCGCCGAAGGAGGCCCCCAACCATCGTCGTATGATTCTTATGTGCCGGAATACTTGACATTCTTTCTGAATGGGCTATGTCGTTGTGTGCAGCCCAAACTCCTCAACCTCTCTCGTGCCAACCGTGCTTCCAGAACTCCTGCTTCTTGGATTCCAGCCCCTCGATACTTCCAACATAAAATATCGCCGACATGCCCTTTCCAGCAATCTGCAAGTCCTAGTTGCAGGGTTTAGGGTTCAGGATTCAGGATGTAGGATGTTTAAGGTATAGGGTTTTACGGTTTTGGGGTATAAGGTTTTATTATTTTCGGTAGGTTTTAGAGTATTTAGAACCCTAAACCCTCCGAAAAAACCGAAAGCCCCAGCCAGGGACGCCATCATCAAGGACAAGTTCTCGGACCGCTCCTTCCTGGATCAGCCGCCCGGCCCGGCACAAGAAGGGGACTCTAAAAAGGAACCCTACCCTATATATAGAGAGACCCCTTAAAGGGGCCCGTAAAGGGGTACTACTAAAGGGAACCCTACAGAGATCCTTTGAAGGGGACTACTATAGTGGCCTTAGTAACTACCTATACTACCTATAGTACCTATAAACCCTATATATAGATCCCTTAAAGGAGCCCTTTTAAAGGAAGCCCTTATAGATTCCACAAGGGGGCTACTCTGTGTGGCCTTGATAAGACCACCTAGACTACCTATGCTATGTTTGGGGTTGCTTAATATGGTTACAGTATAGTATTCCCCCATTGCGCGGCTTCTGTACCTAGGAGCCCCCGAGACTATCTAAACCCTAAACAGAGGGCTCGGAGTCTATTTGGAGTTTAGGGTTTGGGGTTTATAAACCCTACACCCTAAATAGACTCCGAGCCCTCAAGTTTGGGCACGACCGAAACCACTTCCTAACCTTGAAGCTCCTGAAGCCACAACTTTAGCTAAATCCATAGAGCCTCAAAGCGAAACCCTCCGAGCAAAGCCGTCGAATCGTAAACCCTGAGCCGTATATATGCCGAGTCCCGCTGATGCTCAAACCCCCCTAAAACCGAACTGCCGAGACGCTCAAGCGAGCCAACGTTGCGACATCCGAGATGCAAAGGTTGCGATATTCCCCTGTAGCCTAAAGCTGCATTGTCTCCGGACTTTTCAGGTATGACTTCAGCAAGTTCTTGGCGGAGTACGAAGCGTGCCACATGGACTATGTGAGAATGCGCTTCACAGAGGTGTCGAGGGTTTGGAGTGTAGAAACCGTGAGCTAGGTGTTGGTGCCGTGGGACTCCCTTTCGTTTAGGGTTTTGGTTTCGGATACTAGGTTTGTAGAGGCTTTTTGTTGTGGTTGTGGTCCAGGTTTTGCAGCCGCTGTTAGCAGTTTTGCTACATTGCTTGTGTTGAGTATTCACGCTGATGTGTGGAAGCTTCACGATGAGCTGCTGGCGGATGTCTCACGCTTTTGTTTGCATTTGTTCGTGCACTTCAGATTCTTGCAGGGGCTCTATAGACCCCAGACTCAGCCTTTTGCGAGTGGAAGTTGTGATTGGAAGCTCTATGATACCATGGATCGTTGGCGTCATCTTCCTTTCCATCGGGAACATTACGAGCTGTCTTCTTGAGGATTCCCAAAGATGTTTGTTCTTCAGACTTGTGTAGTTTGGGTTTAGTTCTCTATAGGCCCTTATATGACGCGCATTTTATTAGAGCTCAAGCCGTGGACCCCTGGCCCCACTTCGCCAGGCCGATGTCGACAGCTCCGGCAAGGTCGATGCACAGGAGCTTGCGCAGGCTGACGCAGGGTTTTGAGATTTGGGTTTAGGGGATCATGGCTTTCGGGCTTTCCTGGGTAGAGTTTAAACGGTAATTTGGGCCTGAGGGCTTCAGCACATCAGGGTTCAGCGTTGGTTTGGGGAGTCAGTCTTTAAGGATTTGTAGGTGGCCAGGTTGTTTCTTTGACACTTCCTAGATGCTGGACCTCAGGGCCCCAAAACCCTGAACCCCCAATCTGCAACCCCGCTTGCATTATGAGGCGACGTAGAAACGAACCTACAAATCAGCTCAGGGTTGCCAGTGAGATTCGAAGACCCCGAATCTAGGGTACCGCAAACATGCAGTCGTCACCCTACGTCCTGGGTCCACCCAAAACCCAGAACCCTAAAAGCCTGAGCCCAAAGCCTTAGCCTAGGCCCTCAACGGCCCCAGTTTTGGCAAAGCCCCGAAGTCTGAAACCCTGCGGAGGTGCTGCGGAAAGCTGGCATGACCCCAGTGACAGGCCGGCTTTTGGGGCTGAACCTTTTCGGGTTGGACAACGTCTTTTTTAGGGTTTAGGGTGTTCAATTAATGTGGGGTCTTAGGGGTTAGTCTTTTGGAGTTTAGGCTTTGCGGTTTCGGGGTTTGCCGGTTGTGATTTTGGGTGTTATCCCAAAACATCCCGGCTCTGGAATTGATCCTTGTCCAGGTGTGCACACGCGTGTAGAGGTGCTACATAGGAATTATTGTGCATATACCAGACAGGCACTTGCACCCATGAACTTGCAGCCCTTGCCGAATTGGCTTGCGAATTTCAATACAATATTAGAACTATCCCACCGCCCCAAACTCCTATACCCTAAGCTTCAAACAGAACGGCCTGGAACCCTGGCCCCTAACGACTCAGTCAGCCCTAGCCAACATTCGCAGGAGTGGTGCCCCAGCTTATTGCAGAGGTCTGCGGTCCGCGTGTGACCGAGGCGAGATCTGCATGAATGCTTGAAATTGAGGACTCTGTCCTAGCAGGAAGAAATCGTCGCCCTCACTCTCAGCCCTATACGCTCTAATCACCCTATTCCTCGGCTGCTTGTTGTTGGGGTCCTGCTCATTATTCTAGCGCTGATGCTGCGCCTGTCGGCATCGCCATTGTCATGCTCCTTTGCCTCACCTTCCTTTCCCACCATCCCTCAGTATGTTTTGCTCGTACGACGACGTCTGCATGAACGACGATCATGCTTTTCTGAAAATACCCTTCTGACTTGGGCCCTGTGTGTGTGTGTGTGTGTGTGTGTATGCGAGCAGAAAGCCTACAGCCTGAGCCCCAACGACCAGAAAACCAACCATCCTCAAAACCCAGCAGGTGAACTTCATGAACTTCGCAAAGATCCTGGGCACCCGGGTCTGCATCACGGGGTGTGCAAAAGCCTTGTCTATGGCTCTGCGAATTTTGGACTGCGGGTTTCCCAGACGCCGGAATGAGGGTGTGAGTGAGAATATACAGCTTGAAGTCTTTACGCCGTGGGCCCTAAACGCTCATGGAAGGCACCGAAAATTCTGAGAGACACCTGAACCCTTTTTTCGAAAGCCTGCGATTACAGCTTTGCCGATTTCGTTTTGTCGGCCTAGTCCTATGCATACGAGTAGCATGAAGAAGGAGCATTCTCCGTAGCCGTGTCAAACGGAGCGAACGAAGCCCCTATGCCCTAAACTAACTGCCCTAAGCACTCCGCACTTTACATCCGAAGCCCACTAAGCACCCGAAGCCCTGTAACGGCATCTGGAGTCGTGTATGGCACAACTGCTAGCATGATGCAGCCTGCTTTGGAGCCCGAAATAAGAGCCGCATAAGTTACTCCTTGTTTTCCCTGAAGCCGTAGGCAATACTCCAGGCCCTTGAGACCCTACGCCCTGCAGCCCGACCCGCTCAGAGCCAAGCCTGAACACCCTGAAGCCTGGACCCGAAAATTGCGCCCATCGCACATTGCAAAGCAACATGCGGACCCCAAGCCTTGAACCCAAAGCAAACTCTGAGACATGGATCCCAGGCATCCTCCGCTATCGGCTGGGCTTTACACAGGACTCGCGAGCTGAGTTTCAAGTGCTGAGAGTTTGGGATTTGGGTTCGTTATTATAGGGATCGGAATAGGCGGTACGCTTTTGGTTTTGGGCTTTAGGAGTTCCGGTTTAGGGGTGTCGGGTTTGGAGGTTGGTTTCCTGAAGATCCCATCGTTTCGAAGGTATGGCAAATAAGTAGCTTTCCATGAACTACTTTGCGAGAGCACCACTAGGATGAGCGTTGAACTTCTTTTCGTGCGATAGTGTCTATGCGGTAAAAGACACCGATTCAACTGAGGACACGCAGGAAACCATATGAATTGGGTCCCCGCAGAGCACCTTGTTTCAGGGCTCGGGATTCTAAGCTTACTTCAGGATTATGTTGATACCAAAGAGGTGCCGTTCTTCAGCGCATTCAGGCCCAGGTTTTCAAGGCTTCGAGTTTTGGGTGTAGGGTTCAGTGGAGATTGTCTATCCAGGAAGGAGGTTTGGAAGTGCCATTGAGCACCAACTTCCATGGACTGTGAGAGCTGAGGGCTCCGGGGCGAGAAATTTTAAATTTTAAATCAGGGTAAGCCCAGATGGGAGGTTCTGAAACACAGGTTTCCTGTAAGTGTCATTACAACAGGGATTCTGCTTAGGATCTGTATTCGGGCCATTTCTGAAAGCCCCAGATGATGGCAGCAAGAGGACACATACTCAGTGGCGGCTATTTTATGTGGTAGCATTGAGAGTCAGTGTCGTAGTGATTTGTTGTTCTACCGGTTTTGAATCGCGGGGGGAGGGGGGGGGGGCAAAAGTCTACCATGATGAGTTTTCTTTGGTTGAACCGCTAAGTCCTAAACAACCAACATTTGAAGTCCTGTCCCTCAGAGGGGGCTGAGCTTGAAATTCAGACTCTCAGGAAGAGTATTCAGACATCGCAACGTCCTTCAAGCGCCTGGACCGCCCGCTGCCAAGTTCCAGAAATTTGGGGTCGGCCTGTAGGATATCGAGCGTTTTGGGCTAGAGGGGCGTCGGGTTCGGGATTGCAGCAGTGGAAGCGCGTGAAGGCAGTGACAAACAAACGCTGACAAAAGAAGTGACATAGAAACGCAGAACGGTCGATTCAGACAAAATGAGACGTTTGAGAACACCGCATGACAAAACGGTGATTAGTATGGGAGGTCTTAAGCCCTGTGGTTTGAAGGTCTCACAAAACGTCACGGAATGAAATTGATAAGCCCGACAACCGAAAGCCGCAAAAACCTCCAGACTCTAGACCGTTAACGCACAAGCAAACCTTCAAACCCAAGTCTCCAGATCCTTACCCCTCGCTCCCTGTAGCGACTAAAGTTCGAGGCCAGGGTCGTGAAGCTTTGAATCTGGCGGAGGCGCGTGGCTGCACCTCGGTCAAAGGCTGCATTGTCTTTCTGTTAAGAGCAGGGTTTTTCAGGGATTCAGGAGTATCAGGGCTTGTTACGGGTTTGGTGGTCGAGGGATATCATGTCGAACTGTGATATGTACTTATCATAGCTGCCAATATGTGAGATGGCTTATGCTCTGTCATAAGTCTAAGAATATACCACTGCAATGCACAGCTTTCCGATATTACCAGATCTGTCACAACACGACGACATGTGGCTGTAAATCTAAATACGTCTACATCTACATGCACAGACATATGTACATACACATATTCATACACATCATATGCATAGGTATATACGTTCATATACACATAGACGTGCACATAAACATATACTCCTACATGTAAACATATATACATATACAGATACACATACATATACATGTGTATGTACATATATATATATATATATATATATATCACATATACAGCATCTGCACGGCACGGGCTCTACCGCACAAATATGTATGTGTGTATATGTAAATATGTACATTTAAAGCACATGTACATGTACCGCCTGCACAGACTATAGCACACACATTCACGTATTGCATATGCAGCAAATGGCACATATAGGTACATCCATACTGCAGAAAAACTTGTATAGACATATGCAGGGACTGATACGTGTATAGGTCGGTACACACGCATTTATGGTTGTAGTTACCGATATAGATACAGACTTAAGTTACTTAAGCATGGATATCTCACATTTCTCACATTTGGGGCGTAGAGTCTGGTGCGACGCGGCCCGTTTTGGGATGCACCTAATTAAGTTGCGGCGTGCGGACCAGAAATCTGACTGTAACCAGTGTGGACTCGCACAAGGAAACGGGATTGAACCAGCAAGAAGGAAAAGCTGTCCCGTTCCTAATCAAAAAGTTGCCGGCATTCCATGCGCGGTGGGAAGGAGGACGAGGAGCAAATAAGCACATCCAAAATTGACTGTTCGGTTGGGACCTACGAAGTGCAGGGTATTCCTCACGGGTATCGGGTGAGGCCATCCCTACACTGTTTACATACCCAAGATGTCAAAACACGTTCAACGAGGTGATATAAGGACATCAAACACTGAGCCGGTAAGCTATTCGCGATCTCACCGGTACACCATTAAGCCAACGGGCTATACATCCTCGTGTTTGTTCCCACTGGCCTGTTCACTGCTTCTCGTCCGACCCATCACCCTCCGTCTCACCGAAGCCTTTGATGTCGGTGTTGATGCTCGTGGAGTTGAGCATGCCCTCCCACTCACGGTGGTAGGGGACGTCTGCCTCATCTTGAAACATGAAGGCTAACTCATTGCCCCATGTATCGCCTTCTTTCTTGCTGCAGCTCACGATGTCGGTCAAGATGTTTCCGGTCCAATCAGCACTCTCCCACACAGTGTAGAAAAGGCCATCAGTCACATCTTGATACATACTCATGACGCCCGCATAAAAGCCGTTGGTGTTGCTTGCGGCCTCACACTCCGAGTAGTGCGGGTCGTCCGCCTTATTGTCCTGCAGTCTGAAGGCACCTTTCTTCATGATGTGGGTGTGGATGCCGCCGGTCTGCTTCCTGCATTCCCAATCCTCGTTGCTAGGGCCATCTGCTTCACCGTACAACTTGACGGCAAAAAATTCTTCTGACGTCCCGCCCTCCAGCCTGCCGCAGCTCATGATGCCCAGGTGAATACCAGTGGTCAGCATCATGCTCACGTACTGCTGGTGATGATGGCCATTTGCCCCCTCATTGATGCCCATTTTGTCCCGGAATGTCGCCTTTTCCCAGCCAATGGTCTGTGATGCCGCCATCGCAAGCGTGATGAGCATCAGGCGAACTCGGCTCGTGACGTTCCCATTTGCAGAAGTAGCAGCAGTTTTCGGGAACTGGGGTCACAGCTATCAGGCGGGCTAGTGCACCATTCGATCCGGACCCTAAGCATGGATATAGGTGTATACATACATTTGTACATACACATGAGTGCACATGCAGATATGCCTGCAGATATGGGCACAGCTATACATTTAGGTATGCACAAGGATATAGGTATAGGTATAGATATAGGTAAGACATAGACTGCTAGATATCTACATATACAGGTAGACATTCAGGCCGACATATACAAAACACGGAAGATACAGATAATTGTATGCAAAAGCATATGCGCATGCACATACACTTGTGCTTACACCTACCGCATACCACGTGTCACATGCACTTGCCACATACACATACACATAAAGATATACATGCGCGTACACGAATGAAGGGTGAACAGGCAGGCCTCTGTGTTAAAAGGTGCAAGAGTTTTCAATCGCAGAGTGTGTAGACTTAAAGACGGGCTGCCGTACGATTGCCAGTATGGGGGTTCGATTTGCAGTTTGCAGAGTTGGGCGGAAGGTTTCAGGATTTAGGGCTTTCAGCTCGACCTTTGGTGTTCAATTGGCAACATCCCTGCTTGCTGCGTCCCCCTAAATCCTTGTGCTGCCGCCTTGAACCATGGCCTTGACCCGTATGGGTTGATCGACAGGAGCCGGTTGCCAACCCTAGCCTGATAGCCCTACCGGAACGTTCAAGTCTAGCTACAAGTGCACCTAATCAGACGTGCTCCAGTACTTGTAACTCTACTTACTTGGTCCCCTGATCCTGTAAGTATACCCCACAAACCCTGTGAATTGCAGAAAGAGTGCCTAGGCCTCGAGTGGCTCGGATTTGACCTCAGTGTCGAGGAGGTAGAGTCCTACAGCACGCGGGTGCTGAAGGCCGAGACATTGTGTTTTTCTATTTTGGGTTCGAGAGTTTAGGGTTTCTAGGTTTTGGGTGGTGCGGTATTCAGACCAGGTGCACAATGCTACTTGCAAAAATTATGCTGGGTGGCTGGAAAGCAAAGCTTTTACCAGAGTTCAGAAAGGAATTGGTTTTCGTGGTTTCTGATGTGACGGACAGGAGTTCTTGGTGGGTGCAGAGGAGGTTCTTTAGTTGATACGCTGTGATGATGCGATGTCACGATATTCTTGCTTCCTTTCTTTTTCGTTGACACTGCCCCACTATACTTTAATGATAGTGTCCAACTAGATTTGATTACTTTACAGCCGGGGGCGGAGCTAGCGAGAGCCGCCGTGCCCTGTTTTGGGCCTGCGCGATCCACTGTAAACTATCTAGCGGAATCTAACGATCATACACGCTCCTCCTTGACCCTGCACTCGACGAATGAACGGCACGATTCGTTGTAAATTCCAGCACAAGGGGCACTTCGTGGTAATATTGACACCGCGAACCGATTTTTGTCGTTTATGGGGGGTGCGATACATTGCACAGAACTAGAATGCGGCGTTTCTGGAACGTCCCGTCTATATGGGATAGGCATTTCTGCTTCTTGGGCTCAGCGCGATCTCATATAGATTCCAGTACACGCGGTGACGCAGCTGAACCCTCAACCCCCTCAACCCTACACCCTGAACCCCAAACCCTCCAACCCCTAAACCCGAAGCCCCAAACCCTTGGCCGTAAACCATGCGAGTAATCATTAGCCTCAGAAAGGCTCACCGCGGACGTACGCCAAAGGAGGATCCCGAGGACAGGGTCGTCGGGTGAAACTCTCTGGTTTTGAAGAGGAGCGGTGTTTACAGTGCTGGATTATGGAGGGGTTTGAAGGCTTCGATGCTAGATTATAAAGAGGTTCTATTCTGCAAATTCCGAGAACCAGAGGAATGCTTTAGTCGGCCTCACAGTGGCATCCCTTTTCTAGAGTTCTTCATGCAGAAACCTCTTTGCAACTTTGTATTTTGAGGATTTCCCTTACGTTTTTGAAGGAGTTTTGAAGCATCTGTGTCGCTGATACAGCAGTCTAAAGAATCTGCAAGAATTTCCTTTTATAGTCCCTACCCTGAGATGGGCTCTGGGCATTCTTCGTTGGGTTCCCTCGGATGCTTGACATGGGTGCCTGGACCACAATGCACTCCGCAGAAACCATTCGACGTCTTTGGTTTACACCTCACAGGCGGAACCACAGCCCCCGTTTTTGCAACTTTGTGCAGAAACCTGTTTGTTCGACATCCCTGCGCCCAGAGACTCCAACGTCCGTGGTTTGCTGCTTCCTTGTTGAGGATCGCAGCGATAATCTCAAGAGAATTCCCTGTATCAGGGAGTTTGCCTTTCGGACCAGCATCCTTCAAGCTTTAAAACAACCCGCAAACATGATCGGACACCCGTTGTCGACGGAAATCAGGACCCTAAAGCCCTACACGCCTTTCGTTTGAAATGAAACACCAATAGCCCTAGAACCTAAGGTCTGAACTCCAAACCCTTCAAAGCCTCCGAACCCTTCAAAGCAAAAAGGACATGCTGCTGAGCGAGTTCGATTTCGTCCGGCTGGTGCGCTTGGTCCGAGAGGAGGCCGGGGACCTCTGGGATCATTCAGGACCAGAGGCCTTAATAATTATCTATACTATTGTGGGGGTTCCTTATCATAACTATGGTATAGGCCCTGTTCCAATTATAAGGGCCCCTACATATTACCTATAACCTTTCTGACGAAGACCCCTGATCCTCCAATAGGCATAGTCTGGTATACGCGCGCATTTTCGGAACCCTAATGACATAGCAAGCAAGGCTATTAG